TATTGAAGGCGATGATATGGTTAATTTTAGGCAATCAAAGCAAACATTGAAAAGAAAACAATCTTTAGTCTTTTCAGAAAACTGGATCATACTCTCTCAGTATGGCCATGGGTGTGCAAGTTGCGCCAAAGAACCGTCTTTTTGAATTTTGCCATCAACCGATCAGTGTTCAGAAAATGCTCATAAATCAGTGAACGTCACAACATGTGGCTAGGGTAGATTTATATACTTCCTTGACCAGTTTTTAGCAGCAATTTACCAGTAGGTATGAGTAGTAAGGTATTTTTTTATATATGGTAATAGCAGTCATTTTTGACAGATATATTAGCCTACCATTTGTATTGCCATAGTTTAACTACAAATACTAAACTATAGTTACTATAATGAAACCATGTTAAATTTGTGGTTACTCAGATCATGTGACACTGAACACTGGAATAATGATGCTAAAAATTCAGCTTTGATCACAGAAATAAATTACGTTTTATTATATATTCACATAGATAACAGTTATTTAATATTATTTTAAAATATTACTTTTTATGATATTTTTCAGTATCAAATAAATATAGCCTTGATGAACATAAAAGACTTTCAAAAAACTGTAAAAATCTTACCGACCTCAAACTTTTTAACTGTAGTGTAGATGTGAATGTGCTTAAGTTTCATATGGGTTTGAAAATTTGGTAACACTTTAGATTAAGGAACACTATTTACCATTAACTAGTTGCTAGTTAACTATATTGGCTGTTTATTAGTACTTAAAAAGGACATATCAATGCCTTATTCTGCATTAGCATATTCTATATCCCTTAATCCTACACAATAACTAAACATAATTACCACAACAACTAGCTATACTTACTATCAATAACCAGCAAATAAGCAGTTTATTGATGGAAAACGTAATAGTAAATATCTGTGCCCAAATCTAAAGTGTTACCTTTTTTATACCTACACATTTTCAAGAACAGTTTAAACCTAGTGACAAAAAAATATTTTAAGATACTTTTTTGTGCATGTTTCTGCATGTTAGTTTGACCACATGACATTGTTGGTTGTTGGTCACACCACATTTCTTAGGTTTGGTTTGGCAGTGAAGCAGTTCTGTTTTTTTCTTTTTTTTTCTTTTTAAGAAATAATAATAAAAGATAAAGCCAATCTACTTCTTAAAAAAAAAAAAAAAGTATTTTATTTAAGCTTTTTCTTCATTATGATATCAGACAATGATAATAGAATTATGGCTAAAGTGTACTGCCAAATATACTGCATTTATGGTAAACTAAAATATACTTTACAATTTCCATTGAAACTTGTAAATTTGTAATGACACATTTGTAATGATGAAGTTGCAATTTAGCACATGCAAAAATATATTAACTTTAAAAGTAATATTGAAAAACAATACATTATGTTAGTCGGCATCAAAAATTATGAAAGTAGATTCATTAATTATTAATTAAATTATAGTAAGAAGTGTCTCTCTCTCAATTAAGTACACTGAAGTGCTGTTTTATTTCATTAATATGATATGCAAATACAGTTTTTTAGAATATACTTATAAGATTTGAAGCACACTACAAGTGCACATTCAATATTTAAGCGCACTTCTTTTTCACAAGGGCTAGCAAGGTCCAAAACAGAGTTACCAGCGAAAGCAGGATTTGTCCCATCAGGGAAGACATGTCCTTCAGGAAGAAATTACCATGACTTTCATCTCTCCCACCTTCTCTCCTTTCATCTGCTTCTCTCTCTTCCTCCCTTTATCTATCAGAGTCACTCAGGAAGAAATAGCACAGGTTTCTCTCTGAATCTACTCCTCCGCAAGTGGAAAATTACCCATGAGCCCCCGGGGCATCGCTGAGAGCTGAGGCGACCAATTAGCAGTGCAGCGAGCGTGAGAGTCCTGAACTTCGATCATTTGCAGTAAAGTTACAGATCACTGTGAAAAAAACAAACCAAAATGATATACTTGATAATTAGGGCTGATTCAGTCTGAAGTATGAGGAGCAGTAGTGATGCTTGCCTCAGCAAACACCTCTAAAAATACACAATATTATAGTGATTCTTGATAGTCCTACACTGAATACATAATTCTTGTCAAATATAGTCGTAGGGAAGACAGATGGTGTGTTTTATAAACTTATAATGCCTTCTTAATTTGAGCATTCTGCCATATGAGCGCTTTTTTTAACACTTTGTGGAGTATTTTTAACTGGTTTCCTTCCTTATTGACTCACGTTGTGAGAATGTGTGTGTGAAGAGGCTTTCCATAAGAAGTGTTTCCTCTTCAGTAAGGAGCTCCACGCAGCCACTTCCTGTGACTGTTCAAGCCATCCCAGCCTTAGTTTATATATTTATTAAAACACGATAATTAATTCAGTGGTGTAAACCTGTGAGATTTAGCACTTAACAGACGATTATATTAAAAAACAACACATTATTGACTCAGGTTGTGAGAATTCAATTCAATTCAATTCAAGTTTATTTGTATAGCGCTTTTCACGATACAAATCGTTGCAAAGCAACTTTACAGCAAATTAAATTTCTACAATATTTAGTGGTAGCTTATCAGTGGTGACTGTCAGTTAATGTACATATGGCAGAAATGTATGGAAAAATCCATTAAAAATGTAATCAAACAGACGATGAACACTATTAACAACAATTATTATATGATGCAATCAAACATATAGCAAAATGTGGTAGTTCTGTTATATATTGTTGCAACACCGCCGCCACGACCAGTCTGATAAGCTCATGCTTATAACAGTAGCTTGTTGGAGTAGACTCATTTAGACCAATGTAATAATTTTGTTTTAGCCAGGTTTCAGTCAAGCAGAGCACATCAAAACTATTATTTGTGATCATTTAATTTACAATAACTGCTTTGGGTGAGAGTGATCTAATGTTTAGGAGCCCAAACTTTAAAAATTGTTTTTGTTCATTTACTTTACATTTTTCTGGTTTAATCACGATCAGATTTTTTCTAGATCCTGCATTAAATTTATATTTTGACCTCACTATTCGGGGGAACAGACACGGTCTTTATAGATTGTACAGCGCAAGTACTTCTATCATTTAAGCAGGTAGAACATCTTTACACCATGACAATAACCATTCATTTAAAGCAAAAAGTCTACTGAACCTTTCATGTCCTCGTCGATACGTGGGAAGCGGTCCTGACACGATGATCAATGATCTCGATCAGGCTCCTGAAGTCCCTCTTCAGTGTCTCCTTCTGCCGCAGCTTGGTGTCATTAACCCCCGCGTGATGCACGACCACTCCGGTGCTCTCGTCGCCCTTCAGGATCGCGGGTGTTTGTGCAGAAACATCGAGAACACGAGCACCAGGGAAACAGTGAGTGTGCACTTTACCTTCAGCTAACGTAGCACGGACATTCGCCCGGGGCCTGGCTTGCGTCTTTCGTGAATTTGTGTGTGAATAGGCTTTCCATAAGAAGTGTTTCCTCTTCAGGAAGGAGCTCCATGCAGACATTTCCTGTCACTGTTCAAGCCATCCCAGCCTTAGTTTATATATTTATTAATACACGATAATTAATTCAGTGGTGTAAACGTGTGAGATTTAGCACTTAACAGACGATTATATTAGGTTTAGGAGTATGAATAATGATGTTTCCTTTAGAAAACACCACCAGTAACAAACGAGGAGCACACAGATACATTCCTGTGACTCAAAGAGTAGGACATGTGTTTGAATGCAAGACGAGTCACTCTGGAAAAAAACCTCAAAATGCATCATGTAAAATGCATAATAATAAATAATGATGATAAAAATATGTTGTTAATAATACTATGCATAATGTAAATGTATAATAAATAATAATAATAAATGTGTATAATGTTGTAAATAATAATACACATCAAATGAAGGTGGTACACCGCACTAAAAAGTTCAATTTGGATTTACCAAATGCATAAGGCAAATGTATAATAATAATAATAATAATAATAAATAACAATAACAATGTTTATATTCATATTGTTATTATACAATAATAATTATTATTGTTACTTTTAATAATAGTATGACAACACATTGACATTATTCAAATTATGAAGATAGTACTCAACTTGTACTCAAATTGTATGTTATTGTAATAATAATAACAATAACAATAATATACATTATTTTAATTACACTGTAAAAAATGAAAAGTTGACTTAACTTGAAATTGCAAGGCAACTTGCTGCACAGCATTTTTGAGTTTACTCAACTTTGGACCAAGTTGTTCACTCAACCCAAGTCACGGAGTAAAGTCACTTGTCACTTTTTTGTTCAGCTAACACAGTTTTGTTAATTAAAAGGACTTGTAATGCTTTTCCAATGTGTCTCAATAAATTATGTTCTGTGAACTTTTTTCTGTGAGTTTTATGGACAAATATGTTTTGTTCTAGTTAGCATTTAAACAATGTTATAAAATAAAACTACAACTGCAGGCTTCAAGTTTCGTTTATTATCTTGAATGTAAAAAGAAATACAAACAAGGTCAAATAATAGCCATACTTCCTAACAGAAAAAAATGAGAGTCAATAAAATAAAAATGAAAATAAAAAAATGAACTGAAAATAAAAAAAATAAACTGAAGATGCATAAATGAAGATTAACTTTTAACCTTTTAACATGTAAGGGCCTTGACTCTATTCCTTGGAATGTTTCAAACATTAAAACACCAATAAACATGTAAAATAAACTGTTTTTAGAACTGCAACTACAACACAGCAGTTCAACACTGGATGGTCTGCCCACCTTTTAACAATGTAACAGTGTCAACAATGTCAACATATTCCTTACAAAATACACTGCAATCAGCATTACAATTTTCAAACAAACAATAATAAAAAAAGTACAAATACAAATAAAATACAAATAAAATGGCACAATAAAGAATCTGAAAAGATGAAAAATAAATAAATGCACAATCAACAACAAAACCAAAATTAAATAAAAATGACACTGTGAAACATTTTTTCAACAATTCAGTTTAACAATCCCTTAACGTTTTAACATTAAGATGCTAATATTTGTTTAATTCAAAAGATGCTCACACCAAGATTTCAACATTCAACATTCCGAGTTTAGTTTTCAGGGACTGTACCCTTGCAGAGCAGTAAGTGCCCACTTTCATAACACCAAAAATCAAAAAATAATAATGACATGAAACAATCTTAAACTATTTTCGAACATTCTATTCATAGTTCAACAATCCCTTCGAATGTTTCAGATTTTAACATTAAGATGCCAATATCTGTTTAACTGAAAATATGCCCACACAAGATTTCAACGTTTACAGCAAGAGTTTAGTTTTCAGGGACTGTACCTTTGCAGAGCAGTGAGTGCCCATTTCCATAAACACCTTCTCAATTACCTCACAAGTATATTTGAGTTCTTTTGGGTATTGAAAATCCAAGGTGAAGATAAGGACAAACAGGTAAGAAACAGCAGAATTCCCATTTTCATCCCTCAGGTCTGTCTGTCTGCTGTAGATGTGTCCTAATGAAACAACAAATACATCATTATCAGCTGATCTCAGTTTTGTATCTTTTTTTCCTGAAAAACAACTAATTATATGAAACAACCAAATATAATAGTTTTAGTGTGGATGGTTTATGTACATTTTTTTTTATAATTTCATGGTAAACATTTTACTTATCCTGCATGTGGATAAGATGTGGATGCAAATGCAATGTACATACTCAACTGTCCTTTTGTATGTTGATAAAAGTTTTGAATCCTATTGACCTACATTGAATGGACAAAACACCAAACACATGCTTCATATCTTTGTATTCTATAGTGGTTGGACTGTAACATGACTTTGAGATGATATAAAGCTAAATACATGATAAAAGGTTGCATATTCTTTTAATAATGCTAATTTGCATTTAATTGCATAATTTATCATTTACAGAATGTAAGTGAATGATGACTGTCAGTGAAGCTGTCATTAATCATCATAATGATCATAAAGAACTGTGTATTGAATTTGACTGATTAATGCTAAATTCAATCATCCTAAAATCAAAAATGAAGTCAAATCATAATCAATTTCCTCACAATGTAAAGATTTACTACCCTTTGTTTCTCCTAAGTTCATGTGGCAAGACATTGTCAAGGCTTTATATCTGCAAAAGAATTAATGAAACATACTCACCAGATATTTTTTAAACGATGCAGAAGGATCTTCACGGAGAAACAAAGGGAGACCTTCCAGAACTGCTTGCTTTCTGTGATTCACAATATTTGAGGTCTGAAAAATGGGTACCAAATAAAAATAATTTATTAAGAGATGTTGTGTAGTGTTATTTATTTTACCTGAACTTCTGATCGCTGTGTGCCAAAGCACAGGACCTTATGAGTTTACATGTACACTGTAAAAAATGATTGTGATTTAAAAAAAAACACAGTAAAAACCTGTTAAATTATTACAGTAAGTTTCCTTACAATATACGGTGAATAATTGTAATAGATCTAACCTTTGTTTTCGAGAAAGTAGCCTCAGAGTCAACACTCATAGACTGTGTCTGAAATCACACCCTACACCCTCATTCACTAGTCCCTACATTAGTTCAATATATAGTCCACTAGACCGAGTGATTGAAAACAAATGAGGGAATTCAGACACTGATCAACAGCTGCTGTTAACAAGCAGAATCACTGAAGAAAAGAACAAGAAACAAAACTACAACTGACTTCAGTCACAGCCTTTTGATTGTCACCAATGTTGAGATTCATAGGCTGACTGTTGATGTCTGTGTGTGTTTAAGTTCTGCCATAGTTCAAAGCTTTTATTTGTGCATATTGTGCTTAGGAATTCTTTGAGAATTAACCGAGGTTTATATTGTATTGAAAATATTTTGTTTGGCCTCACCATTTTGGCGATCAGTGGTTGCTTTAGTTGGGCACTTAACCCTTGACTCTTTAATGTTAGTTTTTCTCTGCTGTTGTTTCTGTGTATGTAAAGCACATTTGTTATGACAGGAAAATCCGAGAGAACTTGTAATGAAGTGAATTTGGTTATTAATGATAATAAATCATCATGTCATGATCTGATTTACTGATCTCAATTAGTGTCTAATTATATGGGTTGATTAATTTTTTTTGTTTTGTTTATGGAACTACTAAGACTCTATAAGATTTGTTGACACACTACTGTGAAGAAATTTAAAAACATTTTATGCACAAAACTTTTAGAGCTACAGCTCTGTTTAGACACACAGAAATCAAGAATCAGCACATGAATCTCAACAATGGTGACTATTATTAATAAAATATAAAAAAATCATGCCGCAATGCATGCTGGGTGCCAGTACAAAAATTCCCAGCATGCATTGCAGCATGAAAAAAAAATTTTGATTGTCACCAATCTTGAGATTCATAGGCTGAATGTTGATGTCTGTATGTGTTTAATTTCTGCCATAGTTCAAAGCTTTTATTTGTGCATTTTGTGCTTAGGAATCTTTCACAATGATTGCGGTAGTATCAGTGGTGCAACTCAAGAGTATTCGTTATATGTTACACACTTAATAAGAGATTAAACATTAGGTGTGATCAGTGAATCAGACTAGTTCATGATG